TCTCTCATGGATTAGTTTTCGTAGCTTTCTAATCTCTCTCATAACTTTCATTCTCTCAAACTCAAAACACTCGAAAAATCTTTACACTAGCTTTTAGCGTAGTGCAGAAACAACTTTTAACATGTGATGACATATGATGCTGGTAATTCCCGTTGATACATGTGACAGGTGTTTCATCCACTGACACGTTTCTTTTCTTTTGAAACTGGATGATTTCAGATAGCATTCTTGCACGAGGAATCCGGGACTTATGTTTCTCTCGTTCGGTGTCGTTGGTAGAATTCTCATTCTGTTCTTCTTCAAGGTCAGGGACTTCATCAATATGTTCCAAGTGCACCTTAAAACGGATGTATGAGTTCACGAGGTCCTCGTATGTGTATTCTTTTGAACAATGAATGCAGTATGCAAACTTTCCCTTCGTCGCCTTGTACCCTTGTTTATGGCGTAGGTTCCGTAACTGTTGATCACCAACTACTTTGGGAACCATTCTGTTCTCCTTTGGAACGGTGTATGTGTGGTCGAACGCTCGTACCAAAGTTCGTTTCTTGGTAGAGAAAAACTCGGTGGTAATCAATCGATTGCAGTAAAAAAACAACAACAAAATCTTTATAACGGATATGGCCCCAATGGACGGATCATCACTGTGCTGCAGCCGAAGCTTTGGGTAACCGCTCCCGGCCGAAGCGGGGATTGGTTTCACAGGAGACCACCACTGGTTCCCTCACCGGCACCACACTCCCTAGGGGAGATGGTGCATTTAAAGTTACATGTAAGTATAAATGGCATATCTCGTGTGGATTTGCCGGACATATATTCCTAACTGATTTGTGGGTTTGGCCGAATGGATTCAGGGAGAGTTACTTGGTGGGTTGGATGGAGGGAGAAAAGGAGGGGCGGAAGCGGACGCAGGGGGGAATTGGAAGGATGGGAAGTGGAGGTCCTGCATCAATTACCCAGTCTCAAGCTGTGTGGCGTAACTCTTATCAATCGATCGCAGTACTTCCTTGCTAGTGCTTTGCTGTACTTTGTTTCACTTTTGTCCGTAGAAAAGAAAATGTTGTCTTGAACTTTCCTGTATCCACGGATCCAAGCAGTAAGATGACAGTGCACAGATTTTCTACCTTGTTCCTCGAATGACACTGAAGTAGCTAGGCAGGTAGTACCAAAAAGTCCCGCCTTCTCCGTTGGTTTGTTGTTTCGCCAGTCCCATCCCACCACCTCTTCCATGAAGATGCTGAAGAGCATTTCGAAATTAATAGCCGAAAGGCCCGGGTACTCCAATCGTAGCTTGCGCCTGCTCATTGCACGTTCGATAGTCTCATCTTCTGTTAATTCGTCGGTAGGCGTATCATCATCAATTTCATTTCCTGACATGACCAACCAGTATTGAACCTCCTTGACGCTGGATCCGCGAACTCGTATTGTATTTCTTCTGTTTGTATCGTGGAAGCTCGTTCATAGCAGGGACAAAGAGCTGTTGAACCATTCCTTGAGCTCATCTGGGGTGGAATGACGTCAAGACTGCTCCCAGAATTGTGAATGCCTTCATCTGATAGTCCGTAGACGACATGACGGGTTCCATCGCGCCACTATCTCCGGTGCCGAGAGAGGAAGCACATACACCGCGGCGGCTCGACGGTCGCTAGGAACTTGTGTGGTGTGTGAGATTCTTTTGACATAGCAATTCTGGACATGCAATTCGCCTTTCTGGGGACCATCCATTGTGACAGCGAATCCATTGTAGAAGGCTTCGCTGGCAAAATCGAAATCACCAGGAGGCTTCACTTGATAGAACTTGACAAGGTCAACGCCACGGAACTTCTTGCAGAATCAGAAGTGGCGACGTCAAATGGAAGCTCGCTTGCGCTTTCCATCAGGACTCAAGAGAGCGTTGGTCGACGAACATGTTTGATGATGCTTCCCTGTAAAGCAAGCATGTAATTAGAGAACGAAAATGTCAGTTGGCGATGGGTAACGTCAGCCATCTAGAGAGTTCGCCATTGTCAGTTACCTTTGCAGCGATAGTTAGAATGGTTTCAAGTTTTACTTGAAACCGATTTGTGAGAAATTGCAAATTTTGGCTTTGTTTAGGGCTGAACGAGTATGCATGCGCGTTGTTTATAGTCTATTGCAGCATGCACGCCCGCTTTTAGAAACGGAACAATTGATGCACGCCGGCCATATAGAAACGGAACAATTGAGAGGTCTAGATTTTGATTCGGAACGCTTGCAAGTTTCGAGTTTTGGTTCTGACATCAATCTTAAAAAGGGTACGAAATGTGAAAGGTTAAGGTTTTGTAGAAAAGAACCCTTCGTGTTTGTCGCCAGAATGATGGTTCGCTGCTGTAGAGTTAGAGTTTTCATGAAAAGAACTTCAACGACATTGTTTACTGAAATTGTGATCAATAGAGTTTAGGTTTTGTGGAAAAGAAGCGTTGCTAATGTCTTGATGGCAACGGCCTCTTTTCTCTCATGTGTCACGCGTTATTAAACGTTGTTGTATTATGTGTCCACGATGGACGATGGTGAAGATGGTGAAGACTACGTCCGATAGGAGTACTGCCGTCAGTGCAGTCTGTACAGGAACGCATCAATAGTAGATATGACGAATTAATTCATGTGGATGCAAAAGGAAAATATGTTCCTTACGTGTGCCTGGTTTGTGACGAGTTCATCATGCATCGCGATGAGTTACTGTGGTATCGCCTAACTGATCTTTTCAAGTGCAAACATGTGTTAGAGTGGAATGCTGTTATGCATGAGCATGAACGTATTCCGGCTGTTGAAGAGAACTTCCGATTTGTGGATCATGACGATGCAGTGAAGGACCCTTCATGGCTGCATAGAATGGGCCTTTCTCCCCGAGGTATTGTAAAAAAGGCAATAGACCCAATGCTAGTGTTGTTTTCAGCTGCTGCGAACGATGTTCTTCTGCCTTGAATAAGAAGCGAACCCGCATTTCGCTATAGTGAACCGTAACCACATTGGAGGCACCAGCTTGTTTGAAGGAACTCACACCTGTTGAATTGGCTATGATAACGCCGGTTGAAGGATACGGGTACTGTTTTACATTCTCTGGTGGTGCACAACGAAACTTGAAAGGAACAATGACATTCATGCGTGTACAACCCAGACAGGTAGCACCGCCGCAATGCATTGGAGGGCATGGGCCTGAAAAATCATATCGTTGTTCTATTATCTGGTCCCATGACATCACGCAGCGTACTCGCCGAAACAAGAAATCAGAACCAACCGAATCCTTGAAGCGGTGGAATGGCTGTGTTCGAATAACAAGAAATGGAAAGAAGAATTTCGAAACGAACTGAAGGATAGTGTCCAGTAGTAGTGGATCGTAGCGAAGAGGTACAATCTGTTCAGGAGAACATCGAGGAACGCGATCTTTTCAGTTGCTTCTACCCGGACGGTGCAATGACAGAACAAAGTGGTGTTTCGATGACAATGAAGCATTTCGGGATTACGTGAAAAAGATGGAAGAGAACCATTATGATATCGAGTTACGTTTGAAGCTTGCAAAAGAGTTCTGCCGTGGCAGTGATGGAGACTTGCTCGTTAACGCTTGCTTGTTACAGTTTCCGTTCGGTGTTGGTGGCATGGATGAATTGCGTTATGATACAGAGGGTGAATTGGAATGCAAGGCAGAGACCGAAGGATTCTGGATCATTTGAGTCGGCTAAGTGCTCCAGAATTCCAAACGAACATGTTCCAACTCATCATGTACAGCCTGTTTTCGAAGCTGCTCCTGTTACGGAAATCGAACTCTCATTAAGGGGGAAGCACACTGCCAGTACGTTGGTCAACGGCCTTTCTAGTGAGACATCTCGCGTCTGGCAAGAAATCGAGCTAAGGGAAACTATCAAGACGGTACAGCTTCAAGCAGTCCTTGCTGGACGCAGTTGATGCTTGCAGTCGCGCGTTGCCACATACCAATGAAGCAGCTCGAACAGCACGTCACACATCTGAGTCAATGCAGCAACATTTTGGAATGGGTAGTGTTTTTGCTACGTAACTTTCGATGATGAGAATAGCCTCTTGATTCAA